AGCTCGCTGCCATCGATAAATCACCGGGGTAAACCGTCGCAACACCGAATTTTAGATCGTTGTATTCGTATTCGACGAAGTAATAGACGAGAATCGAGGAGAATTGAAGAAATAAAACGGGGAAAATCGTCATCAATTTTAAAATTACTTATTTGAGAGTAAATCTCGTCCTACCTTTCCACGATTCAATTTCAATGTATTCGTATTCATCGAAGTAGTAGCAAAAAAAGAAAGAATTGTGTAATTTTTCGCAAATTAAAAGAATATTAAGTACTTTTAATATAAACGATGCGTTTAATTTTGCAATGATTGCAAAACCATTGTAAGAATCTTTTCATTTTTGAACTGAAAAATGGAAATACAATTTTTAAAATATCCACTCGATCGAATGAAAAGTGGATGTTCGCTCGTTCCTCGAATAACCGCGAATTTTAAAATGCTTTTGCTCCGAAGAGGCGAATCATCGCGATCAATTATCAAACTTCTTTCGAACGATCAAGGTGAGAAATTAATTTTAAATTCTCCCCAGCGAATAAAACTTTCATCCCTCGGCGAGACGGACTTGGAATAAACAAGCGAACCATCCCGCCCATTCTTTCTCCACTCGTCTCGGTATCGATGACGATTATTTTTCACCGACAGAAACATCGGCTAAATCGACAAAAGATAAGAGGGAGGATACACGATTTACAACGAAATCGAAACTCGATGGCGGCGCCATATTTTAAGAGAAGAGAGGATCGAAGGAGGAAAAGCAACAAACCATGTGGATGGAACGAACGATCGACAAAAGAGATATATATATATATATAGAACGAAACTAAAAGCATCGAACAGCAAGAAAATCACGATATTTCATTTATTCTCCTACTATTTCTCTACCTTCTATTCTTTCTCCTTCCCCTTTTCGCAAACATCCGATTCACGTGGAGAAAATCGACCTCCTTCCACTCGTGGAATCAAGTAAATAAGTAAGTAAGTAAGTAAGTACGTTCTTCTCTCCATAAAGAGCCGTGAAATAACAACCGCTAACTCTCTCGTGGCGGCAATGATATATATATATAAATGAGAACCGCTTCGCAATTAATATTCTTTCTATTCCAACTAGATAACCGAGAAGGGTTTGTGTTACGTGTAAAACGCGAGTAATTTTAATATTTTTCTCCGGCAAACCGGGCGAGGATTGATATTACTCGTTCTTTCGAGCGTGGTGAAAGGAGTGGCCGGCTTCTTTTTGATTTTGATTTGGAATATCTCGTCTGGCGGATAATCGAGGACAAGGAATGTACGATCTTTAGACTCTCGTTACTTCGTGTGACTCGGTCGGCTTGTTCGAGGAATTATTAAACGAAACTCGTTCGAATTAATATCGGTCGATTTTCGCAAAGCGTTACGTGAAACTGGGTTAAGCTTAAACTCGTGGAAGATAGAAAATTTCATTGGAATTAAAGTTTCCGTTGTATAGCGTATGCGATGATGGAAGAAAGAAAAAAATTTGATGATTCAAATTGTCTTCGTAAATTTATAGAATGATATTCGGTCAATTTGAAGTTTTCAAAATATTTTCAGACGCAAGTGTTGTGAACTGTCTACAGGAGATAAAAACGTGCACAACATAACGAAACCATTTAACCCCTTGAATCACCATTAATTAATTCTTATGATTCATCACAGTTATTGTTATATTGTATCATAATTAATTTATTGCTGCAATTTATGTAACGTAATTATACATTGTTTACTATTATTATGATATTATTATATGTATTATCATATCTTGGAATTTCAAAAATTTCCATGACACGTTACACAATATTGCTACATCAACTTTGTCAAACGAAATTTTTCTCTTCCACCAACCCGTTCGTTGCGCGAAACATCCCCTACTTCCTGAATTACGAAACCCAGATCGTGTTAGGCAATCGTTTACTCGACGAGTTCTTTAACGAAACGAGGAAATTGAAAGGGGAGGAAAGATTTCCTCCCTCTCTCTTTTTTCTCTCTTTTTAATTAATCATATCCCAAGCTTAAAAGGATCCTTGTACTTTCCATTGGATTAACCGCGGATTTATCACGTTCGAGGGATATTCAGCCTGCAATTTATCCACTTTTGCCGCGCTTTTTTATATTCAAAAAATCGATGCTCTATTTGAAACGATTTAATACACATCGAGCAAACCTATTTCAATTTTAAATCTCGAGCAACGCTTACATCCCCTTCCCGCGGAACGTTTTGCACCGTGAGTTTTAATATTTCCGGATATTCCCTTCTGCATCCTTTCAAAATTCTCCTCCAAAGAGAAAAATCCGCCTAGGACCTTCCCCTCTCTCTCTCTCTTGTCCTTTTTTCCCTCGATCCCTTCCTAATTTCACGCAACCCTCGCCGTGACCGTACGCGAAATTAGGTAATTACAAAACGGTGTAAAAAAAAAAAAAATCATATGGTAACGAAATTCAAATCGGAATACGGTAATTCGAACCTCGAGAGAGGTCGAGGGAAATATGAAAATCGTCCGGATTTAAAAAAAGGGGGGAGGGTGAGAAAATAGAGAGGAGATGGAAGTCGAACCGGGTCGAAAATCTCATCTCTGAATTACATCGTCTCCTCCAACGTTGGCACGTTCCTCATCGGTCGGGAAAAGTTCGCGCCGGAATTGTAATTCCGTTCCGGCCGAAGATGCGCCGAGTTCATCCTGTCTCCGGAGAGAGGGTTGAACAGGGGGGAGGGAAAAATCGCGAGATTTCGTTAAACACATTACGAGCGTGAAACTTGGTTAAAAAAAAACGAGAGGGGGGAATTCGTGATACGAATTTGCAACGCTAGGATTAGTTAGTTTTTCTCGATTCTCTTTTATCATTTGTTAACGCGATTTTGGATCGAGGACTTTTCTGCTCGGCCTGTTTTTGAGGATAAAACTCTCGAGAAAGGATTCTCTTCTCGAAAACTTTGATTATTAACCGAAATAAAATGAATTGAAAATCAGTTATCGAATTAATTCATATTTTAAATTCTTTCTATTTTAGATTCGTTGTTATATATTTGTAAAATAAAATGTAAACTTTAAAATCGCACGTTACATTTTACGTGATAAAATGTTGTTAACCTGAGAAAAGTTATTGGTCAACCGAGAACCATTTTCCAATGTTTAACGTCATTTAGGAAAAGCATCGAATGACAAACTGAACGGTTTAATGCGGATTCACGGTGATCATTTAGCAAATCGATACCCTGATTAAACGCACGACGCGTCTTCCGGTTAATTAACCGCTATCACGCGGCTCCAGAATTACGTGGAAATAGTCCTATTTCAAGTTTGAAATATTGGAACGGCGAATAGGACTGTTTTTTGAACACCGATTTTATTCCAAATCACGAGTGACACAAGTGTAGAATATATATATATATCAACGTCCGAAACACTGATAAATTCCCTAGATAAGATTATATATAAATCGAATTTTCTAAAGGTTACTAAATCTGCCTTATCCCCTGCTCGAATTCATCGGTTGTAGGCAAAGTAGTGAAGTATACACGACACCAGGATCAATCGAAGAATCTAAATTTAGTTCTGCATCCAATGAATAATGGTAAAGACATTTTGTGAAATTGGAATGGAAGTCTGAGAATGAAAAATTCTACTGACTTTGCCTCGATAATTTAACGAAAGAGCGTTAAATAATCACTTTCTAAGATTGGAATGAAAATTTTCCATTCATTTAAAATCTAAACTTTGTCTTTGATATATAATATTAATTACAGGGATACGACAATCATTATATAGATAGAGGAAGAGCAATCATCAGCGTGCAACAGCATTTTCTAAATTATATATACGAAATATATTTCAGATATCCTATCTACTGCCTAAATGTACCATCAAACAAATCGTCATCCATATACACGAGCGATCAAATCTCAAAGGGAGATAACGGTTAAAAAAAAAACTGTTTATTGCAACTATTTGCAGCTATAAAGTATGCAAACAATAAAACGATGAAAACGAGAACACTGACAAGAATCTAAGAGAAGAAAAAAAAAAAAATTCGCTCTACATTCGAGGACACGGGGTCGCGGTTCCATTTATCGAGTGATTGGTCAGCTGAATGATTGGATGGCTGCCTTTTGGCGCAATTTTGCCAAATCCAATTTCCGCCCTGTATTTTCTTTATCGCGTTTCAACTTCAATCGGTTAAGTCTCGTATCTGGCCTATGCACACTTATAAATCGATACAATTTCTAATTGCTCCTCGAAATTATTTCTCAACGAAATAATTCTCCCGAAAAGATAACTTAATAATCTAATAAACGATGGATGTTTCATTGCTTTATTTTTTTTTTTTTGTCTCTCTGTAATTTCATGACGAAACTATATAATAATGCAAAAATTTTAGTTTACTAGACGAGATAAAAGTGTTGTGAAAAAAATATTATATAATTTGAAATAATTTATTCGAGATTTGTTTGAGACGATCTATTTTCTGATAAATTTATTTCATATTTCCCGCTTATCGCAATATTTTACTCCGTCGCATGTTACAAAGTACTTTCCATCGATTCTAGAGAAGTCTACTTGTTTCTTATTTTGCCTCATTTATGTTATGTATGGAAAATAATGTTTAGATAATGTACATTTTTATAATAAATACGAATTTCCTCGAAATAATGCGTAAAATTGTTAAATTTATCGAAACTTGCTTCAGGGTAAATGAGGTTAAGTTAATTAATATAGTTGATTTGTTAACAATACCATAGAGGTCACTAACGATCACGAAATTAAAAAGTATTACAATTTAACGTCTATAAAATTCTCGATATTTCTAATTTATATAGATTATAAATATTTTTATTATATTTATATTATAAATATTATACTGCAATTCTTTAATTTTCTAAAATTCTATCTTCGAATTTCGCTCTATATTCGATATATTCGTATTGATGATATATATCAGAATATAGAATCGTTCGAAATTATCGAATATAAAATTTAGACACTAACCTTTTACGATGACTGGAGTAGAAACGAAGAAGAAAATTAGGATCAGCTTCATTGATAACAATTTCATTCCGTACTCCTCCATGGTTAAAATGGATCCGCTACAGGAACATAGATAAACACACCGAACACGACAAAACGTATGTAAACACAGAAGGGTCCACTCGCACACCCGACCGAACGTACTTTCTCGTTCTCAAAATAAGTCACTTCACAGTTCACGCGCACAATGTACCGTCATTTATTGTAAAATCGACACTAGAAAATGGAAATCTATCGCATGCTCGATTCCTCGTTATATTGACGAAGTATTTACTTCCATTGGGCACATAATTTTTTGAAATGTTTCACAGAGATTTCACTTGAGCAGCTGTTTACCACTAAACGACGTAATATCACGAATATAAAACGTATTTTGTTACGAGGAATCGTCATCTGCGAATATTTCACTTATATTCAATCGTTGATCTTTTCTACGCAACACTTTTCACGAAAAATTTTCACTTTTCCGAATTAAATTCGAAACGAACGAACGAAATTCTTAATGCGTCATTACGTTCGAGAATCAATCCCGCGACTAAAAGTTCGATACAATGGTAAAACGCATCTGATTGGCTGACAAATAATCGAAAGTAAAAATCAAATCGAGAACAATTTCTCGAAAAGATCGAATAGTATCATGTGTCAAGAGACGATGTTTCCGTAGCAACCATCGATTACACGCACTTTACCGGTTCCAAATTTTAAAAATATTGCTTTCTCAATGCATTTTTTTTCTTTCGATATATACAATATCAAGATGTTATCATATTCGTCAACGAGATGTTACACAAATAGCACGAATTCACGATCGACACGTTCGAGAAATCGATCAATCGAAAAATAGTTTAACACTACACCGCGAGTTCGCTCGTAACAGGTGAATTGTCAAAGGACGCGGAATCACTGTATTTGAATTCGTTCACCGTGGACAGCTCCGAAATTATGAAACGTTTCATTGAATATCCACACGGAAATCAATTTTGTTCTTGGTCTTCGTTTCTGAACACGAACATCGATGACAGTAATCATCCTTTTATTTTTGCCGGTTTCCATGCACACTCGCGATTTTTTCTTCAGTCTCGTATTCACTGTCAATTTTCCAACATTACTTCGCTGCTCCGTTTTTCACGTGCGTCACTCAATATTCGTCAAAATATCGCGTAATAATTCGCGTATCACTTATAATCTGAAAGAGACTGATACGAACACGTACTCATCACTGAATCACGCGACGAAGAAATAAAACTCGTACGTACCACCGCACACCTACGCGGGAGTGTGAACACTGTAGAATTGCTCGAAAGGGAAGGAGGCCTCTGCCCCCGCAGAGATCCACGGAGATTGCCGAACGGAACCGACTAGGCACGAGCGTACGAGCGACCAGCATCCACTGCACCTCCCAACCCCTACGGCCTATGAGTATAGTGCGCACGCAAAGCACTTGACACGATGAGGATGGGAACAACGCAGATGCGGAAAATCGACGGAAAACGTTGTCAAGATACCATGGATCCTACGGGCATAAAGTGAACCGATTTTTTTGGATCTTGAATTCGTCTCGCTGCTGCAATCTTTTCGAATTATCCGTGTATACGTTGAGAAGCATTGCTTTTTAACTGAAACATATGCACACAATGTAACTAAGTAATTCACACTGAAAATGATGAAAAAATTGTTACCATTTATAAAGTATTTTAATGATAAAATTTTTATTCATATTTATTTCAAACAAAATTATTATTTCTTAAATTTTTCGTATATTTCAGGTAAAAAATTTGATAGAATACCAAATATTTCCGGTTTGTCTATTTGATTCATCTAATATAAATTCATAACCTAATATATAACATGGAACCTTAATAATTTAATATCTGGTATGCATATGTACATGTATTCAAAATATGATAAATATACTTTTACATTTAAAAATATTTCAGAAAAATTATGCGTGATTCAATGTATAATAATGTTATTATTCGTTTTTTAATTAATAATTTAAGCGAAGAAGGTGAGAAAATAAATATTTAAATAAGAAAAATTTGTTTTTATAAAAATTTATCCTTTTTACTAACAACATATTATTCGTTTCTAGTAACTATTTATAAAAAAGGAAACAAAAGTTTTCAAATCTCTTGGTACATGGTAATAATAATACGAATATGAAGTACATTGTTTCCAGAAATGAAAGAAATAACAAGATGTTGCTTGAGATTATAGTAATATTACAATGCTATTGTTCGTAATTTATGATTTCAAAAATATTCAACGCTTTATCATTTGATACATTTTATTGCCAATTTGCATTTCAAACTCCAAATTATAGTTATAAATTAAATATCATTATTTCAAATAATTTAAATTAACTTTTATCTAAAAATATGAAATTAATTCGTATTTTTTTTTAATTATCTTTTTTATTTATAAAGAACTATGAAATGAAATTCAACATCATGATACAATAATTTATTTTCAAGAAAAAATAAGTTTTAAATATCAACAGTTCTGTCTATTATATCATATTGGTACAAATAAATAAATCAATGAAAATTGGCGATAAAATAAAGTATTTTATATATTATCTTTATTTATGATTTTTTTATGACTTAGATTAATAAAAAGTTATCTATAAGGTAATTTTCAATAATCAAAATTATTCATTTTCTCAAAATAGAAATTTGAACACGGATCTTTGAATTTTCGTGTATAAAAGAATAAATTTTCATTTCGAGAATAAAAAACAATATGCCAGTTCGCATATTCTCTATATTTTATAACACAATCGTGCATTATAATTTGAACAACACAAAATCCATATAATAATTATCTTTTGCGACTGATATATCGTTATTTAGACAGAAGAGTAATAGAATAATACGTGTAAATTATATATTTGATTTAAACAATATACAAAAGTTTTATAAGTTCTAAAATATTCAAAAAAATGAGAATTCTTAGCCAAAAAAATTGTTTTCTTCAAATGAAAATGAAAAAAAAGAAATGTTTATTTTTTGAGATTAGGATTGGAAAATTTATTCACAAATAAAACAGAATAAAAATTTTTTAAATATAATTTTAATAATTTGTGAGATTCATACTCATGAATAAAAAATATGTGAACGAATAATAATGTGAAATAAAAAGATTGTTTGTCATAAGTAAATTTTTATTTCAAATTACTACAAAAAATGTCCTATGCGTTTAACTTCCGTTTCGATACAAATTTAACATCTTCATAGCGAAAAAAATTTTGAATTTATAAAAAAACTTTGTTTTTTTTTTTTTACTGCATTACATTATATTACTTATATTACTTTTAAAGGCCACCGGAAGTAACAGGTCACTTTTTGAAATCCGTTCAATTCTTAAATTCGAAAACTATTGAATCAATATAGTAGTTCTCATTACAAATTTGCAAAATAGACCAGAGATCTCTCATTTTCTAAACATACCGTATCTTAATGAACACCCAACGTATAAAGGGTGAGTCTTTTATCAGTCGTCACTCAGTTCTAAATTTTCTTACCATCGTGTAAGACTGCGTGTTTTAAACGGAAGCTATTGAAAATATTCCTTTCTTTCGCGAAAGGAATAAAAAATTGATAGAAAATTCACCCTATACGTAAAATAGATAATTAACACAAAAACGAAAACAAATAAATACGCTAAAATTATATTAAAACATATTTGTCATTATAAATCGTAGTGTGCGGCATCCTATAATTTGCTTTGGCATTCTACGCATTTTTTCGTTCTTTTATATTTTTCTCTTTGTTTCGCTTAAGACAAAAATAAACAATTCATCCTAAAATTTCTGAAGTCCCTGCGGAAACAATGACTTTAATACATACACATGTCAAAAGGAAAGAGATTTTGTTTCCCTCTATTTTCTTTTTTTTTCTTTTCTTTTTTTCTTTTCATTCTTTCTGCTTCTTTCTCTCTTTCAATAAGCTACGTAACATTCGACGAAGATATTACAAAGAGAGGAGAAAGAGAGAGAGAGAGAAAAAGAGAAAATGTTAATGAAATTTCCGCTATATTTACCACGAATGTCCCTGTAGTCTTCGAGGAACTTGTATCATGAACAATACACGTTTTAATGTACACGAATTCATGTACATTCACCAACTCCACTTATGTACGAATACATGTAGATATAAATGTGTACATATACGCGCGAAGAGGAGAAAAAAAGAGTAAATTGAAAAAGGAGAGAAAAAACACATGATAGCAAATCGCAAAGAAGAAAATTTGTTTCGTCGACATTCATTTTTTTCAGTCTTATAGATACCTATACTAGTCACAAAATTGCTTCTGTGACTTTCGTAATTTTTTCTATAATATTTTCTTTACAATTAATATACGAAAAATAAAAGCATAAAAACTACAAGTACGATGTACTTGAACTTGGCAATGTCTTCATTCTGATTTTTCATCGATCAATTCATAATATCATAAATTTAAAATATAGTCTGATTGATGTATCATTTAACGACAAGTAATATCAATTATACGTGTAAACGTAAAAGATATAAACTTGATCATTCGAAAAATATCCTGAAAACAAGAAATACGACGTAGAAACATTCTCCCTAAAAAGTATCATCGCTCACGAAATCACGATAATTTCGTTATTGAATCGAAGTGAAATATTCGAAAACTTAAAGAGGGACAAGGGGAAAAATTGTACGATATCTTTCGATCGATTGAACGATATTTCCGAGACGAAATATAAACGCTTGAAAAACTATTATATCGCGAAATATATTATTTTTAAATATTACATATACGATTCACTGTCGTTATATTATCTTAAATTAATCGAATCATCATTATAACGATTTATATGTATTTCTTTCAATTGTGTCAATTAACATTAAAAAAAATCGTTGAATTGAGACATGTACACACAAAAATATGATTATATAAAATATATATATATATATATTTATATATATATATATATGTATATATATTATAATCAAATCTCTCGCTTTGTATAGGAGCAATCGAACTTTTGTGATTCGCCTTACCATAGTTTCACTTTTCTATCGAAAAGCAAAACCGATTGGATACCTCGGTATCTTTATAGCGTTTCCAACAGGAAACAATCTTAAAGATACATAAAACCAATAAGAGGAAAAATATTTTCATAAAACATGTGTAGAAATGCGATACTTTTTTACGGAAAGATAGAATACACGTACGAAATATAACATGTCCATTCAAAGGCCATGCGATCAATTTTATCCAAAATACAAGTGTTTTGTTTTCGGAATTCTGAAAATTCCCGGATACAAGTATTCCTATACCTAATTGTACCGATTGTTCATTTCTTTTTTTCACGCAGTCTTTAACAAGGCACTTCTTTTTCGCATATTATACGTATATATGTTTTGATAAAGGCCGCAATGTTTCTAGATGTAAATGCGTACGAAACGAGAGGAAATCAATTCCATTTTCATTACAGAAGTTTACTTTGGTAATGACTAGGTCATGCACTATCGCTACGCAACGATATATCGTTGTTCCTCGCTACGTCATGGCGATCGGCTTCTCCGTTATTAATGGTAAATAGAAGGGAACTAACGGATCGTTTAATATTATGGCTGTATAAACGTATCGCTCGCGCACATACGTACATTAGGACTCTAGACAGGATCCAAACTGCTGAAGAGCGAAGCAGAGACGCTCTCGAAATCGATCACGCTTTTGATTTTCGCTTCCCCTTCTCAATCTGCCTCCCATTTTTTATTCATCGCTCGTTTCCATTCGATCATTTAACAAATTCGATCCTGTTGTGCTTCTTAAATATCCACTAGAAAAAAATTTTCCATCGTTCGTCAAAAACATAATAGAAAATTTTAAGACAATAAAATAAACATGTATACCAATATTTGGTAAAAGAAAAAAAAAATTCTCATAACTGGAAGATAAAGTATGGAAAATGATCCTTCAAGTTCCTCAAGTTACACCCTCCTTGGAGAGAGGCATCTTTAATGTCCTCGAAGGAGTCTCTTTAGATGGGAAAGACTAATTCGATTCCAAACGTTATATATTAAAACTGAATACGGTAATTATTCGGGCGAGGTATGGATCTCGCCTTGGAAGGTGGCAACGATGATGTGGATGCCTCGCTGCTAGCCGTGCCTCCAGAATCGCGTCCTCCACTCTTGCTGCTCACCGTGCTTCCGGTGCTTTGTCCACGTGAGCCAGTCTGCTTTCTCAATGTGCCATCACTGAGACGGCCGTACTCCCCGATACGACGAGACGGTGGCGGTATCAATGAACGGCTCTGCGTTTCCCTGTGCTTCGTCTCCGAATTGCTAGGCTGTTTCTTGCGAATATTTTCACCTTGAAGACGCTCGTACTCGTGGCTCGTTGCGGAGGATGGCTTTTTCAACGAGTTATTTACGACCAATGGCTCCGTGCCGGACGATTTCTTTCGACGCTGAGCCTTCGTGTCGAATCTTCCATACTCGATGGTGCAGTTATTCGTGTCGCGTACCTTCATACTCGCTGATGTGTCCAGAGCCGGGCCTGGATCTGATTTTTTACGAGTCTCCGTGTCGCTAAGTCTGCAGTAACGTGAGCCCGTTGACTTCATATTCTTCGGTGGTCGAGGTAACGAGCTGGGAGGAAGGCTGCCCGCGCGACGTGGCTCGCCCTCTTGCATTCTCTGCCTCTGCGAACTTCTGCCCTGCTTCTCCAGTAGCATCATGTCTTCAGGCTTACCGTCTGATAATCTCGATACAGTGCCTTTCAGCCTCGAGGCTGCACTCGCAAATTCCATGATACCTGGCGAGACCTCACCACCGGAGTCGTCTAATAGGCGACTCTTGCTCGAGGCGGTGCTCGAGGTACCTGTGCTATCTACACCCGCCAATAATGGCTTGGGTATTTTTCCTTTTCGCGACGCAGTGCCTGGATTAGAGAATCCTGGAAAACAGCAAAGTGCCCGCTGAAACAAGAGAAAAGCATAGCCGCGTTGGAAAGGAGACCCGGGACCTGGAATAAGGGTTAGTGCTCGCCACAACAGCGCATGCACACTCAGGGATCACATGGGATAGGGATTGATTCGGGTTAGTTTGAATTAAAATAGGAATGGGAAGGAATTATCTTTTTCTTTTTCACTATCTAATCGAGAAACGTTGAACACGATTAATATATAGTTAATTGTAAAACAAAAAATCAATGGCACACAAAGATTTGTATTAGTGAAAAGTACAGTTTACTGAGTTTTATGATTAAAAACGAGTAATTCGATGCATTCTTTACATATTATTCTATGAATATACTTTTTTTAATAATTTATTCAGAGTTTGCTTTTTTTACAAAATGGTAATTATGTTTTTTCTTTAAATTATTAACAATAAAAATATTTGTAATGTTACATTCGTAAAACTTTAATGAAATATTATTCTTTTGAAGACTTGTTTTAAGTAAAAAGCTTACTCTGTATAAATTTTACTAATTAAAGAAAATAAAAAAAAAAATTTTTTAATTGTAAAAAAATGGATTAACAAGACACACATGATTATGCGAATAACGACAAACACAAGATAAAAATAGTTGATATATTGTTTCTTTCATATATTCAATTACTAATAATAATCAAAAATATTATTCGTATTTTTTTGTAGAAAATAGATAAATTACATTCTTAATATAAAACACAACACATCAACTATTCTTGTTCACACGATTAACCTAAATAGGACTTTAAAGTACCTGTGTACAAACTGTAATATTTTGATCTTCTGTAGCTATAAATAAGCTAAAGAATTTAACATCACAATACATAGAAAAAAATAAAAATAAAATTTCATAAAATAATTTTGATATGATTAATAGATAAAATTCTATTTTTAATTGATTTTTTACATAAATATTTTTGTAAAAAATTCATTTTATGATCGCGAAATTATTTCTATGTTTACTATACGTTTACTGGGATCTTGCATACCTTACTAAGTAGCTGGGAGTCTAGTTCTTTTAATTGATCATCAAGACTTTTATTTGTTTGCTCAAAGCTGCCCTGTTTCCTATATTTGTAACTGTCTGTAACACCATACGAACCAGTACTTCCATAACCACTACCACCACCTAATACACTGCTTACTGTTGAATATAAAAATTAATATTTAAAAAATTTAATTATTATTATTAAAATAATTGTATCATTTTTTCATGAAAATACATTTTTTACCAAGTTCTGGTGTGCTTGTCAGTGCAGTGTGGTGATCCGCTGACGTACTTGAATGAGACGAATGTGCAGCAGGATAACTACCAACACCACTACTGCTACTACTATCCTTATCATATGTATGTTTTTGAAGAACTCTAATCATTGCATCCCTTTCAGCTAACTTCGATTCTAGATCTTTCATTCTATAAAGCAAAAAAATCATTAGAATCCAAAACAGAACATAAAAAACTACGTTGGAATCATAAAAAAAATAATTTATGTGAAATAATAATATTACCTAGATTCAAGATCAGCTAATTTTTTTTGTGCAGCATGAACTTCATCCATGTGTCTCATTTTTTCGGATCGTGCTTCTGCAATTAATTTCTCTGCATCTTGACTCGTTTTTTCTAATGCAGCTATCTTTGCATCCCTAATCATTCAAAAAAATAAATTATAATTAATATAAATATGATAAAAAAATTATTAAGCGATTAAAATTATTAATTTACTTTGGTAAACTAGCTGCATCAATTGCAGCTTGTCTTAAAGCACTTTCTTCAAGATAACGTTGTTCCCATTTTGCAACGTCACCTTCCAGTGACATAATTTTTTCATCTCTTTCGCGTATTCGTCGTTTTAACTCTGCGATTGTTTCTCCATTAGAAGATTGTTCATTACCATTAGCACCACCGCCACCGCCACCTCCGCCTTCTCTTAATTCCCGTTCTAATTGACCTCTCAACTGTCTTTCTGTTTCTTCTCTTCTATCGCTAGATGCTTGAAGAGAAGACAAAGCTCGTTGAAGTTGGCCTACCCTCTCTACATATACTTGTTTCTTTCGACACTGTAAAAAAAATAAGTATAAAAAAAAAACTTGTAAATATAAAATATGAAATATGAAACAATTTATTGAAAAATAAACAAAAAATTACCTCTTCTTCAAGACGCACCACATTGCCTTGTGCATTAGTGAGAGCAGTGTCTAGAATATCTATATGTGTACGTTGTTCCTGTAACGTTGCTCTTTGTGCTGCTAATTCGATTTCTTGTCTTTCTTTCGCTGCAGCTAATTCTTTATCTAACATAAAAATCAATATGGTTAAAATTACAAACTGAATGACGATAAATAATAAAATATATTTAGAATACATTTACTTTGTGTAATCAATTGGCCAATTAATAATTCTCGTTGCGTTAATTCTTTTCTCATAGATTCCACGATCGGAGGACTATCAGTACGTGCTGATAATAAATCTATTTGATCTCGCAATGCGCGATTTAATTCGGTTAATCGTCTACAATCATTTTGTAACCTCAATCTAGCAGCTCGTTCCAGTTTCTCTCTTCGTTCACTTGACGCCGCCAATTCTTCATGAGCCCTATGCACCTTTGCAATTTCTTGTTCCAATTTTTGAGATTTAGCAACTTTGTTATAACATCTTTCTAATTCTAGTTTTAAGGCACTATTTTCTTGGATTACAATTTGTATCATTTCTGATGGTGGCCAAATTTCACCTGTTGCAGATTCTGTTTCTTCCCTTCCTTTTGTTTGAGGTCTATGAAAATATTAAATATAAAATATTACTTGTGATTGATAGTCATCAAAAATTAATTAATTTCAATAATCAATTTCATTAAATCACCGTGGTGAAGTCGCCCGCAAATTGTAGTTATCAATATCTGGTTTGCCAATTCTAGACAAGTCAGGTTGTGATCTTGATAATGTCAATTTTTCCATTGGTCCAAGAAGTCGAGATTTATTTTTTAAAGGTAATAAAACAGACATATATGAAGGTGGTGGTCTATCTTCTGATTCACTATCATTTTGTTTTCCTCTATCACCATCTCTCATTCTCATATCAATATTTCCTCCATTATTTGTTAACTTACTATAAGAAGGTACTTTAACTTCTTTTGCAAGATGTTTTAATACCTGCTTGGTTTGATTAAAATAAAATAATAAAATAATAAAGAATTAATTATATTTAATCAAATTTAAGTTATAATAAAATAATTTTTTTATATGTGATATTCGTTTGTTATATATTATTACTGAAATACAAATTATAATACTATTGAAATAATCACCTGCGATTGACTGAGATAATCATCTGGTATGTCTGTTATTTCTTGACATCCTCCATTATTAGATTGCTCATAAATATGATCTTCATGACTTAAATTTGATAAAGATTGCATAGTAGGACTATTTGAATGTCCTTTTCCAGCATCACAATATAAATAACCCATATCTCCATGTTCTCTTACTACACTTGACAACCTAAAATTAAATATCAATATTTATAAAATATCTATATAAAATTATAAATATAAATATAATTCTAATTATCCTATAATTTTTTCTTAAAAATATAATATATTTAAATATATTACCTTCCAGATGGTACCCATGAATTATCATCATTAGCATTGTGTATTATAAGTGTATTGTAGGAGCTTGTAGACACATCTAAGCTACTTCTATTTGAACCTACACTGGTACGATTACTTAAATTATCTTTCAAACTATTTCTATTAGAACCATTAATGCTGTCTTTAAGACTATTTCGATTAGAACCATTTAAATTCTCTTTTAAACTGTTTCTGTTTGAACCATTCAAACTGTCCTTTAAACTATTTCTGTTGAGCAGGTTACCCTAGATTGCAATAAAGTAATTTACACTTATGTAACTTAATAATACAGGTAGCAATTTAAGATACGTAAGAATAATATAGGTAAATAACTAGGCATTAAAGAATGTCTACACTTATCTCAAAGATAATAAGAGGGGATAAAAATACATGATGCACAAAATTGATCAATAAAAATAAAAAAATACAAAAAAAAAATATATATATATATATGATTAATATTAAATTACTATTAATAAAATTATTAAAAACATACAATTAATAAATAATTAGAAATAAATATAATTATACATACTTGTATATTTGGTATATTTTCTTTATGACTGGAAGATCTGGATGGACTTTGCTGCTGATTTTCTTGACCTTGAGGTTCTTGACGAGCTGTATGTCTTATAACATAGCGATCTTCATTGGTTAGATTTTCATTTGAAGTTGAAACATCAGTTTCACTACCACTTAAACTTTGTGGAAGACCACCTAATGAATAAAATATTTAAAAAAATTATAATTTCATAAATTTGTATATAAATTGAGATTTCATATTATATCTTATATTATATCATATTACATCTTATAATATTATATATTTCATTATCTTAAAAATATTATATAAATTTTAATTTTTAAGAGCAATGTTCTAAAAACAAATTTCAAATTTTTCTAATACCTTGCATTGATAGTTGCTTCCTTTGTATATTATTATTTGAAAAAGGTAAAAATCTGCTACCTTGTTGCAAAGAACTCATTTTTCTATTGTTTCATTTACACCTGTATATTTTATCTGTAAATGTATAGAATTATTTTTTTTACAATTGTTCATGAAATATGTAAAATCATTTATTTATATATGTAAAATTATTTATTTATATAACTTTTATTATTTTGTTATTACTTTATTATTATATTATCATTACTATATTCTGGGAAAAATAATTTTACAAAAATTAATTTATTATACTTTAATAAGCTTTATGCACATTCATATAACTATATATTAGAAAAATTATCAAAAATAGATCTATCAATATAAATTCTTATAAAACACAAATTTTTATTTTTTGTACAAGAATTTTTTATACAACACGTTAAATAAATATTTAAAAGTACTTTGTCTCAAAATTTATCGAAAATGTAAACGAGAAAGATACAAATTATTAATCTCATAGATTAATCACTCTCTTATCCTTACACATTAAAAACCAATGAGAACATAAACGTATTCATGCATTCTTGTATTTGACACTACGCGGCATTCGAAAACAAGAAACTGAGAGAGAATTATAAGAAAGTCAATATTGAAGAAAGAGATGGTAATGTTATAGTAATGGTAAAGCAGAGCACTCTGACAGAGGTGTCAACACTCTGGAATGTTGATAATCCGGAGATATTGAATTTTTCGTTGATGCGTAACATTGTAATGAGAAAGTATTCGTAGTCTTATGAATTTAATTCATTAATATATTCCATGTTGCAAAATCGAAAACGCTATTTTTGCACGCGATTTTTTATATTTTCATAAATTTTTAAACTTGAAGGGCTGTATAAATAAACAAAAAATATAATATCGAACTATAGCCAACAAAAATTTTTTATATGTTATTAAAATATAAGCAAATGGTCCTATCAATTTAATATCCGATTACTCACATTATGCGAAAGTGCAAAAACGGGATGAGTGTCGTAATTATTTCAATAAATTAGTACACTTTACAACTCCACGCACGAGAAATAAAAATTGTTAGTTCCTGCATTCCTCATCAGGGTGCGACGTATACGAAAGCGGGATACGCTCTTCCTGACTCTTCTAAACTTTTCCAATTTTTTTCTTCATCTTTAGATGAATCATTAAAAAGCAATGTATGGAGAATGTCATCCTTATATAATTTTTTTTTATTATTGTGTATTTTTTTTTATATTTATATTTACAATAAATGTAACAATTCCTTTCTTTCTTATACATTGATCAATGTTTTTTCATTCTTTATTCTTAAATAAAATATTTATGTCAAGTTCATTGTTCTATCGATATATGCAAACTATAATATACACAAATATTTATAATAAACTTTTATACAACATTTTATATAACATTGTCATATAAAAATACATTTTGTATATATAATTGAATAAAATAAGACAATTTTCATTGTTATATTATATAATACAAATATTTAAGTCGTATCCATTGGTATAAAATAATAGTCAAAGTTGACTATTATTAAATAATATTATTAATATTTACATTTATTAATATAATTATTAATATAAAGAAATATAATTATATTAAAACCATTAGAAATAATCATTTTAATATAAACAATATTATAAAGATAATTTTTATCAGAACTCAACTTATGAATATATATATATGTATTTATATATACATCTATGTTTATAATTATATTATGTTATAAAATAATTTATAATATAGTAGAATTCATATTACATGATTGTGAATAGATTAATAATTATGAATTTTAATAAACTACATCAGTGTTATAAACCTATATTTTTTAAATTGTTATTTCATAATATGTTTATAAAATCAGAAAAAAATATTTATAATAAATTATTAAAGATCTCTTCATATAGGATATTTCCTTACGGTAATTTACAAAAAAAAAGAAGTATTTGCGAAGTCATTTATTTAACAATTTATAAAAAATATGAAAGGTCATTTTTATTTTAATTTTCATTATATATTTTAAATTAATATTATTATTATTATTAACAAATCATAAACAAATCATATTTTCATATTATGTAAATGTAATAAAATTTTATTTACAGTCAAAAATATAAAATCAAATATATTATTTTTTAGTTCAAGCTATTTCACAATTTTCAACTTCATTTCTTAACAACAAAATCATGTCTGAAGAATCATATGATGTTGGTTATAGTGATATTATAAGAGCTCAAAAAGACCGTGATATTTTAATCATTGATGTTAGAGAAAAAGATGAAATTGGTGAAACTGGAAAAATACCTGGAAGTATTAATATACCAAGTATGTTTTAATAAAAATAACATTATTTTTAAAAATGTCAGATGTTAACTGTTATAATGAATTTTATTATTATAGTGTCTGATGTTGAAAATACATTGATAAATTTTTCGAATAAAGAATTTAAAAATAAGTTTAACAAAGAGAAACCTTCTAAAAATACAAAAATCATATTTTGCTGTAGAGCTGGAAGAAGAAGTGGTATAATTCAGAAACAAATGCAAAAACTTGGATATAAAAAGTATATTAATTATAGTTCATAATGTTTTATAGATTTACTATAATTAATCATATTTATTTATTATAGTACCTATAATTATGCTGGAGGATGGCGAGATTGGGAAAGAAGAAGTAGAAAATAAAAGCAAATGTTAAAAAATATTATGTGTATTAAAATACTTAATAATAATTTAATATTATTCATAAAATGAAAATTATTTAATTGTTTTTCATAACAATTACTGTATTATATGATGTATAATTAACTAATAATAAGTAGATAATATATTTTAATGTATGTATGTGTGTGTGTGTATATATATATATCTACATACAAATAATATTTTATAATACATTCAAGAATTTTATATACATTATCAAAGATATTATTTTTATATAAAACAATCATGTTATTTTCTTTTTCTGTTCTTGTGCCAATTTTTGATTAACCATCTCTCTAAATTGTCCCAAAATAAGATTTTCTCTTTTTTGTCGTTCTTCTTTACTAAACATAGCCAATGCTCGTTTCTCATCAGCAGAATAAATCTGGTTTTCTTTTCGGATACGAACAGCTTCCATTCGTCGATGTCTGAAATAAATATTAATATTAATATTAAAATACATTTCTGTTGTTGAGTTCATTTTCATGACATTCTAATAAAATTTAATTAAGAATATTTAATAGAATGATTTACCTGCTACCACTCATAACATAACCAACAGCTTCATATGCAGCAATCTCTTCAGAAGTTAAACCAATTTCACCTCTTCTAGGTATACGTTTTCCTTCTGCAACATATGCAGCCATAGCAGCACCTTCACCAGGCAAAAGAGCTTTGCCAAAATCTTTAGCAGATAATGTTACATGTGGTTTCTGAACTGGGCCTACTATGCCTTCATCACCACTTTCGTCTGAACTTGATCCTTTCTTAATCTTTGCTTTATCATTAATTCCATTTTTTTCTACCCATTCCAATTCTTCTAATTCGCTATCTGAACTACTATCTGATTTTTTCTTTTTCTTTTTATATTTTTTCTTTTTTCCTTCTTAGCTTTTTTTTCTTTTTTTAATTTTTTACTTTTCTAGAACAATAAAATAACAAAAATAAAATAAATTTCATATAAAATTTTTATAAAAGAAATATTAAAAATATTATAAAAAATGTTATTTATTAAAAAAATAAAAATATCAAATTATACTTTCATACCTTCTTCTTCATTTCTTGTTTTCTTTTTCTGATTCTTGGCATAATATTGTCTTTATATCGATTAATTTCTTCATCTTCATCAGAACTGTTTTAATTATACAACACTTATTATATATATCATAATTTTTAAGAATGAAATATCATTATAAAGATAAAATTAATTAAAATTAATTAAATCTTATTAATAAAGTAATTTGAATAATAATAATAGAAAATTATCATAATATAACTTCTTACTCTTCGATTCGTGTTGGCGATTTTCCCCAAATTCTGTCAACACCACATAATCCAATTTGTTCTCTGTCTCTTCTACGTGCATCCATTGTCATGTTTGTTTATGCTGTAACTTTGTGACAAAACAGAATTTAGAAGAATTACAATATTGCCCTCTGGTTTTAATTACAGATATTAAGTAATATCGACATTTGTTAATTGATGAAAATATATGCAGTTACATATAAATTTTATATGAATATAGTATAAATAAAGAAACCAAAGAGAAAGAGGAAAAAGGTAATAAAAATATTGAAACTAATGCCATCTCCAGAATATCATAGACATCTCTTCAAAAACAAGATAAAATAGAGCAAAATTTAAAATCAGCATTATCTTTTGAGTAACAAAAATAATAATTTTCTAAAAATACTTAAGAGATGGCGTTAACGGTTAATTCTTATACTTTTTTTGTCTATTTTAGTTTCATTTGCGGCACTCTAGAGATGGCGCTGATTTCATAATTTTTAATCTATCTCTATCCTTTTCTTATTTGTTTTTCTTTGTCTTTCTCTCTGTTTGCTTTTGGCGCGTAATTACAAATTAAATACAAAATATTCACTAAATATTCATGCTTTTATTATTTCTCTTTAAAAATGTATTTTAATCTTAAATGCAAAAAAAATATAGATAATTTTTTTTGATTTTTAAAAATATTTTCTTAAAATATCTTAATAATTAATCTCTAATTTTAATTTTCGTTTATTAAAAGCAATTTTTTATAATTGAAAAATTGTACGTAATGTCACTATTGCAATTATTTATTTCATAATACTTTATGTAAATATAATTATGTATAAAATGCAGTATTTTATATATATATGCCTAAGATATACTATAACAGAATATATTTATTCTTTTTTATATTTGTAAATTAAAATTTTGAAATTTAATTTTAATACCAATCATTATAGTTAGACAAATTATTATCATTATCGAACATTTTATTGATGTGATTTATTGAAATAAATATTATTTCGATGAAATAGAGATGTATTACACATATTGGTAAATGCTAAAACTGGGCACGTATACAAAAATAAATGATATTTACGAGAGCATATTTATAAAGTAATCAAAAAATAAGGTAGAAAAGAGAAAAATGCATATAAAGAAGTGAAAATAGTATTTAGATTTTATTGGCTTGTTTTATGAAACACTTTTAGAAGAATTCCACGATGAATTCCGATAATTTAATATCAAAATGTGTTTTTAATAAATATTAATAAAAAATACATTACACAAAATATCTACAATGATTACAAAGATTGATATAAAATTACATGTCAATGGACAGCATTACTATCCAAGACTTATAAATATACAAAGTAGCAATTGTTGTCGTATTTAATCATATTGTTAGTAATATCTATTATAATTAATAAATATTATAATTATAATTCTCTTTTCTTTGAGTACTTAGAAAAATATCCGTAATAATTTCAGTTATTTAGATCTTAAACATCATGCGTTTTCAAATAATATAAAGTGATTTAATGATATATCACTAAAATGAAAATTATTGTAGCTGTGTTAATAATAAATAGATTCATTTAAGGAAATATTTATGTAAACTAAACATTCGATATTTAATTCGATAATAATTAATACTTGCATATTAGTAACAGAGATATGACAAGGCACTCTTAACAAGTCCATTCTTTTCACTTTTTTTCTTTTTTTTTTTTTTATAAAAATTTGTTCAATGTTACCTGTATTCAATGTTAAGTTTCAAAAGATACGTATACACAACAATTCCTCAATTAATTCTTGACATTATAAGATTTTTATCACTGTCATAAGTTTAGGTCTTATATTTCTTATATTGATTATAATTATTTATATGTTCTAATTACATTTTTTAATAAAGATTATTAAATCTTAAAAAAAATATATTATACATAATATATGTATATAAAATTATTTCTTTTTCAATAAAAATGAATTCTAAATTAAAATTTATATTTTATGTAATTATAATTAAATAAAAAAAAAATTAAATTTTGTTTCAAAATTTTTAAATAAAATTATCATTCTTTTTATATTATTAAAATTAGTAGAAAATAATATTAAATATAATAAATGAATAATAATTTTCTGAAATTACATATTTTGTTACTAATTCATTGTTTAAAAATTGAAAAATTGAAACAAAAATTGAGAAATACAAATTTCACAATATTTTCTTATAATAATTACATTACTCTAATATTTTTTTGTATTGTCGAGAAATATTATATAGATACAACGCAATAATGATCAACGCTATTACGGGGCATACTATTGTATTCGTTGGAATACAGAAGCACCATCAATTTGTGCTGTAACTTTTATGAAACCAACTTTGAAAAGTATAGTTTTCTTAAAAATTACAACGTTGAATATCAAGAATATTGAATGATTGCAAAAATATTAATAAGTTTTAAAAACTTATTTTCCATTCTATTTTTAAATTAACAAGATTTATTTTATTTTAATTCATAAACATATCTTGTAGAAATTACTATCTACAAAAATTATGAATTAAAATTATAAATTATTTTATTAAAATTTTATATTATAATATTTTATAATACTATATTATATTTTTTATAATATAAAATTTTAGTGCAATTTTAAAATTATTATCTTTATTATATTTCAAAAATTTCGCAACCAGTCAATACTCTCGATACTTTGATTAAATATTTATCTACATTTTGCTTACTTTATAATTCAGTTAATAAATACATTTCGAATTATAGATTATTTCAAGGAAAAGTATCCAAAGAAAAATTATTTTAAAAATCATTTAGAATTCAAGATAAAATCAACGGACACTATTCCTTGACTATTTGCTTATACCTTGAGCTCAATGAATAAAACTCAAGTTAAAAAAACACTTTGTCTCTTATATGAATACATATCGATCCTTAAGAATTATTCTCGCATCTATTGAAAATGCTATTATTAAAATGATTATTAAAATATTTCTAGTTCCTGTGATTTTCTAGTTTGCACACAGAATCTGTAATTTTTAACAATTTTAATTTGGCTCCATAAACAACATTATTGTGTATTACGCATTAATACTGTTTTTTTCTTTAAAATGATTACTATTTATTATAAATAGATTAAATGAATTGAATTAAAATCAATATTATCATAAGAAACAAAACAATTTGTATTTTTTCAAATTAAAATAAAATTTCTGTGTAGAATAAATCTTTACACTTTGTACTAAAAGACATAAGAATTACATAAATTAAAGTGGGAGATTTTGTACGTCTTTGTACGTGACTCTAAATCGAAGAAAAATTAAAACAATTTTTCTTCTAATACAAATCAATTTAAAAAATTGTATACAAACTTTTGTAAAAAATTATATTATAAATCGTCAAATGTCATTATTTTACAAACGATTATATACAAAAATGAATCAATATCGTGTATAAATGTCAAGGACGAATATGTAAAAATTTCAGAATAGCCTTCATAGTAAATACTTCGGTACAGTAATAGATCATTGGTATCATTGTAAAACTTCCCCATAAGTTTGTAATTATTATAAATTGAAAAATATATATATATATCTGTTATCGTTTTTCCTAAAATTCCAAAAGAAAAACGAGAAAAGATTGTCTTATGTATGATAAATAGTTAAAATATAAACAGGATTAGTACACGTTTCAAGAATAAAACTTCTCGATATACCGCTTAGTCGATATCATTGACGATCCAAAGCTATTTAAGTAAATATTTTTAAAAACTCGCTTTGGTTTGCCATAGATCAACTACATTCGAATTCGATAATATCTTGATTATTAAAAAAATAAAACGTGGCAGTGATTCTCATCATTTGCATAGAGAATATCTTAATATTCCGGAATTAAAATTTACTGCAGGAACTCAGTACATTTGAACAAATAAAAATGTACAAACCGCTACAGAAGTAAAAATAAATTAACAAAATTGGTATCTTGACGTTCAGAATTAGTTTTTTAATCCTCAAGTTATAGGATTAGATGAAAAGTCGTTCCTCGTCCAAATTCTATAACATAGATCTCATTTACTTTATAATTATTGACATATATAAAACCTATAATATGAGAACAAAATAGTTCCAAATTTCCAGTAGACAAATTTATATAAGATCATTAACAGATCTCTGGCAGCTAGCAATCAGACAAAAATCTCTGAAGGAAGAACACAGATCATTCAGTCTCCATCCTATCGCTCGAGGATTAACACAATTGCCAAAACAATTTACTATATTTGCGCAAAAGTTTCTCGAACGAAGAACGAATCAAACAAGCGCCTCCGTGTGATAATGATGATAATGATGATGAATGTGCTCATGAACGTGTTTCCTGCCGGAGCTGGCCGCCGCATTTTGCGAGAATTCCCGTTCCAACCAACGGACGACTTGAATCGTGGCTCGGGCTTGATCCTGTTCCCTGGTTGCATGTTTCAAATGATGCTTCTTGCTCGACTTACCACATTGTTGTGTTTGGCTAAATTGTGTCTCGTTACGTTGAACATTATGATTGTTGGTCGTGGTTTGATTGATAGGGTGTTGATTGTTCGATATCAGATTGCTCCCATTGCGATTCGCATTAGTGGTTTGTTGATCTGTGTACACGTTTGGATTGATCACTGTTCTTGGTAAAACTTGAGGTTGAACGTACGCACGCGGCGGTTGCACGGTAGCGTTATTCCTCTGAAGACCGTACTGTGCCCGCGTCTTTCTCAAATTCCCCCTATGCTTTGCAGGTACCTTGGAGAACGATGTGAAACCCTGAGGCTTTTCCCGAGTAGGTTTATGGTAGGCAGTCGCCGTGGGCCGAGATTCCGTCGGTGAACGACAGTCTTGATTGTAGTGAGGCGAAGACTCGACATGTGGGACTTGAGATGGAATGCGCAGTTGCTCGTTCTGATGTCGTTTCCTGGCAAACATTTGGTAATCCTTTTTTTAATATTTCTAAATTTAAGAAATTTTTTGATATATAGAAAAATATAATTAGATCAACTAAAAAAATGTAGATGAATAATTTTAATATTAAACGCAATTTAATAAATATATTTAACATTATACTAACATCCCTTCCTTTAAAAAAATATATCACGCAATTTTACACGCGGTTGATCACGAAGGGCCTACCTTGACGTATGAAAACTGAGATTATTCTTTTCCATATTCGCTTGAATAATTTCTAAGAGCTGTTGCCTTTGTAGGGCACCACTGCGTTTTCGTTGATTAGTCGTGAGGAGAGGCGTCAAGGGGGAAACTGCGGGAGAGACATCGCTGTCATCGCTAATATCACCCTCGGAGCTATTGGAATAGGGTGATGGTAAATGAGGCACGGGCCCCACCCTTCTGCGTAATTCCTCCTGTTTTATTCGATTCGTTCGCGCATTTTCACCGTCATCCTCGCTGTGAGTATCCACTTCTTTCTGTTCAGTCTAAAATAATGCATGGAAAAAATATATTTTCATTTATCGAATATAATATAATTTATTATTAATTTTATTTTAAGTATGCAAAAAATCCTTTCGTTATTTGTCATATATTTTTGCCACATAAAACATTTTAAATTTACAAAAATAAATGTATGCTTCATAAAAAAAAAAAAAGAAGCAACTACAAATGTTTCATTCAATTGTCAGAATTTGAAAACATCGTAATAAGCAACAAAAAGTCAATCCCTTCTACATCTGTTCAACATCAACGAGGGAGAAAAAGAAAAAATAAAAAAAAAATAAGTCCTCTTTCCCGCGTGCGATAAATCTCGAAAGGCAGAAATGATGAATAAATCCGCCTCTAGCTTCTAGAATTGTTGTCGGTTACGAAAGAGGAGACACGGCTCCATAAAAATCCAAGCCTCGAATCCTCACCTCGTAAGGGCATCAATCTTACCTGGCAACGGTGTCGTGGCACCCTTCTCCTTCTAGGAACTCTACGTAAACCGTGTGCGCCGGTATGGGTCCCGGCATTGTTGCAGGACGTGTGCTTCAAATGGCAGCAGGACGAATTTCCGGAAAAGCTCGTAGCAGCCGGCTTTGAGGACGCATTCAAACAGCCGCCGCCGCTCGATCGCGTCTGACTGCCTCTCTGATCCGGCGACACAGTCAATTTCACCTTAATCGTCTTACTGCCGCACGGAGGTACCTGAATAGAAGCGCCCAGGGTATCGTAAATGGTAGTAACCAGGCCGGCTATGTCGTCTTTTGTTATCTTCCCGTGGCCGTCGAAGTCGTACAGGGTGAACGAGAATTCTTGCCGTCTTCGGTCGCCCTCCGCTACCGAAACGTCGCATTCGAATTCCTGCAACAGCGTCATGTATTATATTACGATTTATCAAGTCGGATGAGGAACAAGATAATGTTTGAAATCGATATTATGTCGGAGAATATGGTGTATCGTTTAGAAATTTGTCAAATTTATTTAAACAACAGTTCGAATACAGTTTGAGAAATGATATTTGAACAGTTTTTTACATTTTAGGTAGAAATAAATTGAAAGATGATGTGGTAAAATATTTATACGTGTGCCAAATTCACAATATCTATGTTCGATTTAAAGAAATTCTCTGAAGTTTGAAAACAAATGGGAAAATAATTTGTTCTCGTTTCACGTTGTTCTGTTCCTGTTTTAACAAGCAGAGTTAATAATACCTCGAAACTGAGTTGCTTCGTTGTACTAGCGCTCGGCTGCTCGTCATTTCCGGTGGCCGGCGTAGGACTAGTAGAAGCGTCAACCGCGACCTGCGGTGCTTCTGTTTCTAACAAAATTGGCTGGGATTCCGGTGGTGAACCACTACGAGGCGCGGAAACACCGCCAAGAAGTTCTTCCGAGTCGCTGCCTTCCGTATTACCAACCACTGTAATCATTGTTGAGCAACAATGAAGAGTTTCATTTAACACAATTTAACCCAAATTACGTTTTCACTACTCTAAAGTAAATTATATAAATAGGTATAAAATTAAATCTTTAAAGACTAATATATCAAGAATGAAACATTTTAATTGAATATTATTTTGAAAATAATCTTTATTTTAAGAGTTAAGCTAGAGAACTGCTTAATATGTGTAATACAATTCCATTTAGTGATATAAAATTAGTAGTCAGTGATCCATTAATTCCAAATTCCTGTCGATTGAATCCATTTAGTAAAAAATATTAATGAATTTGTATCATGTGAATTTTCTATTTTCTATTGTATATTAAATTTTATTATTTATAGTTGAAAATACAAAGGGCATAGAAATAAAAGAAATCAGGATTGTATAGAAATGAATAAATAAGGGAATAACGCGATCCGTTTTACAGTTATTCGTTATATTTCTGGTTATAGAGTCTTGTTCCACGTGCATGAAGTTCTCATCAAAGGGAATGAAACTGTTATCTACGGTCGAGCGACGGCATCGCTCGTAAACAAAAGTCAGAATCTCAAAGGTATCAAAGTAACATCCTCCATGGGTAAAGCCTATATTTATAGTCAGTTTCTGAGTGCCACTCGGTACTTAAAGTTACGGAGTGTAGGAAGTATTTTCGGACTATTTTGAAGGGGATGTATAACTTTGAATCACCAGAAATAAATACAACAGATATCACGAAAACGATCCTGCGATTACGTTTTCTAACGTTTACTAACTTAAAAAAAGAGAGGAAAAAAAAAAAAAAAAAAAGAAAAGAAAAAAAGCGGTGAAATTGTTCTTTTCGTGCTCGATTCGTGATCTAAAGAAGAAGAAATAAAAAATTAAAGGAAGAAAAAACGATTGAAAAGATTTTAATCTCGAGTAAAAAACAGGGAAAAATGTAAATCGACGGAAGCGTGTCTAGAAATTGATGGATGCGAGCACGTTTAAACGCGTAAATTACAGATCAAAGAGTTTGCTGTTTCATAATTACAAAGCGACCGGATTCCGTGCATAAAAGCGCAATTATCTTTAATGCATTCGCTCTATTGCTCGGCCGAAAATTATTTGCGCGGTGCAGCAACCGGGCGAGCAAGCGAGCAAATTAACGAAAGTTCCACCGAAAGGGACGGGCACACATCCATTTCCAGCGTTTATTTCAGAAACGTTTTGCACACTCGCCGAAGGAAGTGTAATGTATCTTTAATGTGTCTGCATTACGCCGCCGTTTACCGTTACCTAGACGCCTGTGTAAAAGCATTCTACGAAATGAAACGTTGAAAAGATACCTTTACGCAACTGCCGTGCATAAATGAACATCTATGGAGCACGACACATCACAACGTGGAGAAATACTTTTTTTTTTAAATATGCAAAAATATATATGTTTTTAGCGATGACAGGAAGTAATGTAAAATGGTTAGGAAAAATTATATTTTTTTAAATGATTGGGTTGATATGTAAGATGAAAATATATAGGTTATTATTTGAAGATTATTCGATTATTAAATGATGTTTTATGATGAAATTCTAATGATAAAATCAATGTAAGAAACAGAGAGTGAACAATAAATTCGAAACAATGACTTTGCCACCCACAAGGAGAAAGAAAAGGAGAATTTTAAGTAAAGATTTTATCTAATGGACCTTGCCACACACATAGAGTCAACTCTATGTTGAAAGGCTTTCTTGTATCTAGGAATTTAGGAATAAATATATCGAGAGATAGAAAAATAAATATTGAGAAAAAAAATTCATAGTCTTATATTTACTATTTCAATATTTCAATTCTTATTTATTATTTGAATATTTTAAAATTGCGAGTTATATATCTAAATTTTTCAATATTTTTATAAAAATATTATTATAATACAAAAATGCAAATAATAATAATAAATAAATAAAAACATTGTTTCGTATTCTACCTTTAATCCTCTAAATTCGATTTTCGACATGATCATAAAAAAAATATTTTAGTGAAATATATTTCAATTAAAATGCATCGGCATTACATATTTTATCATTGTTTAATTCATAATTACCTCAAATTCTATATTTAATTTCTTCGATTCGATAAAATGAGTTAAAAAAATATTTTCATAAAAACCAGTTCCAATTAAAATACAACAACTACATATAAAATATCTAAACGTTAGAATTATTTAAACTACGTGATCGAATCGGATTTTGTTTCAAGTTAGCCGAGCAATCGACTAAAATATTACGGGAATGTTCAATAATCGGGGTTCGATAAAACGAGTTTCCGCGCCGATTCGAGTTCCGAGTAGTCGGGGAATGTTTCGAGTGCTTTAGCCACCGGTTACACGTTTCCCTTCTACGATCATCGGCCGTGTCTTCGGTCTCGAGAAGACTCCGCTTTTATCTTAATTCACGCGATACATCATTAAGCCGGTGCAGCGTGATTCCAGTAAAATATATACTTAAAAACATCGGCATCAAAGAAGCCGCAGAGCAACGATAATTAGCGATACGAAACGCGTAATAAACGAAGCCGGCCGCTAATTTCAATTACTCAAGAACAACGAGGGGAAAAGAGATGAAAAGGGGAGTACAAGACAAGAAAACGTTTATACACGCGCTCAGAAAGGAGAAGAAAAATAAAGAAAAAAATAAGAAAAAAAAAAAATCGAACATGGAACAGAGATCAAACATTAAAAAAGAGAAAGAGAAAAAAAATTAGAAAAAAAAATAGAAGAAAGAGCTGGATAATCGTATCTGCATAAAGAAACGGACGCATATACGCGTATAATGATACCTGCCGTGTGGTAATTACGCCCGTAACTCTTTCGTGGGGCGAGCGTTAAAGACCCAAGACACTGAGCGCACTGGGGAAGAAAAAGGAAGACAAACAAGGAGAGAGTAAGAGAGAAGGAAAAAGACATAAGAGCACAACAGAAAGAAAAGGAAAGAACGACGGAAGAATAAAGAGAAACAAAGACTGTGAATAACAGAACGGTAGGGGGAAGGCTAAAAAGAGAGAATAGAGAGAATCTTTGCTCTATTACATTAAAAAAATAGAGAATAAGGACACCTTTTATCTAACCACCAGACTAATGCATGTAACGAACTCGCAAGGTCTCGATAATTAAACTCCACCCTTGACGCACGACCCTTCTCTACGTACAAGTAGTATACATAAATACTATACGTGTGTCCACGAGCACACGCGTGTGTTTATGCCGTGTGTACCGTACCGCTTTTGCGCCCTCTTGAATGAAAAGCAACGGGGAAGCGGGACACAAACGGCTTCTGCTTTCTTCTTTGTAAATCACCCCTTTCTGTTTGCTCGGCTCGTAACTTTTATCATTTGCCGACGCAACAGCTTTCCCTCTCCCTACAGTCCCTCTCAACTCGTATGAAAATTTTGCCCTACGACGCACGAGAAAACAGCCATAAAGAGGAGTGCCGTAAGAGAACTTGAGATCGGACGAGCTTCAAAAGCGGGATCCGCTACTCCGATAGAAGAACCCTGGAATTGTTGGACGATTTTCGACCAGTTCCTTATTGCTGACGATGTATAAAAACACTGCATTCTTTCTCTTTTCTACTTTTTCTTTTTTTTTTTTTGATTCTTTTTCTCTTTTCGAATTCTTTGCATATTTTTTAATAAACAAATAAAATAAATGAATTTATGAAATATATACAATTAAGTTGTTAGAATGGAATAAAATTTTTGTTGATTACAATAAAATATCAAAGATAATTTTTTCATTTTTGTTGAATAGAATATTGAAATCATTATCTTGATATAGTTCTATGATAAAAAATGATAAAAATATGAAATATTTTTATCATTTTTTTGTTATTTGTTGAATATATTGAAATATTTAAAATATTTTATAAATCAGAAAAATCTTTAATTTTTAAGGATTCAATTTATAAAATTTGCATACAATTTCGATTGATTAATTAAAATTTTTCGAATTCTAGAACATAATTAATTAGAAATATTTGATTTAATAAATATACTAAATGTTTATACAATTAAAATGTTTTCATTGAAATTATTAAAAAATTATCAATTTTTTTTTAAATTTTTCATCATTATCTTTAAAATATTTCCAAAAAAAAAAAATATTAAAATAATTGATGAATAATTTATATAAAAATAATAAATATTGTTTTCATTTATTATATATTTTGCTATTTATTTATAAAATATTATTATATTATTATTTATCACTTATTTATATATTAAATGTTTTTTAGTTTATTGAAAATGTTACCATATAATGATAAAGTAGTAATTTGCTACCGCCGTCCTCAGTATAAACTACTCAAATATTTATCTTCATATAAAACATTTATGAAAATCAAAATGTGAAAAATAAATTAATATTAATCTATAATAAACATTATTCAATTATGTTTATATTTTTCTAATTAATAAACAATAAGAACCATAAAATTTTTCAATTTATTTTTATTATTATGATATTTTATGAACGATTACCTGTATGTTCAAATGATAACATTTTTCTAAATATGCAATCTCATGAATATTATATAAAGAATAAAATATTTCCAATAATAAATTGAAATGATATTGATCATACATATTATACAAAAATAAATAAAATATATGTTGCATATAATAAAAAAATATTAAAAATTACCAAATATATATTTAAATTTCACTTCTATTTTTCTATTTATCATATGTTATTTAAGAAATGAGAAAATGAAGATTAAATAATAAAAAATTTTTCAGCAGAATATAATTATAGATTAAAGGTAAGAAAAATGCAAGTATGACGTAACACCACGTGGGATCCACTTCTGTCATACTGCAGTAGCATCATCGAGAAACACATATCGCGCGCCTTGCAAGTCGGACAAAATATCATGCCTATAACCGGATCGACCGGACAAATCCCTATACGGTATATCTTGATCTATCTATACATCGCGATTTTAACGAATATCGATATCTCGCGCGTGAACATGATAAGAATAAGAGAAGAAAAACTAGATGAATAAAGATAGATAAATAAAATAAATAGAAGAAAAATAAAAGAAACAGACAATATAGGAACTTACCAGAAAAGGGTCTATAACCAGCGAGGAACCTTGCCCGCCACCACTTTACGAATCCGGTAGCCATGAGACCCTCATGCATCCACAAACGCTGCGCACACTTTCCTTCCAGGCTTCTTGTTTCGCCACTTTGTTTTTTATTTTTATTTCCAAACTCGTCAAGTATTAAATTCTTCCTGTTTCTTCGCGTCCCAACAGCAACCGTATGTCACACCAAGAATATGAGTCGCATTCGATGATATAAGCACGATATTTTCACCTGACAATCATACGTCGTTCTCTGCTTGTACCTAATTTTCTGTACACTATTAGAAACTGAAAAACAAACACACTTCCGCGAAATTCATATTTTCCTGATACTGTCTTATCCGACATCTGCTAACGACACAATAATCGATGTGTACGATACGCACAACTAAGGACACGTGTTTTTAAGGGTTGTGTTATGTTTAAAACTGAGAATGATCCAGTCAGCGCCCAATCTCTTTTTCTATGTTTTGTTTATCATACTTTTGATGCAAAGATGAAACTGTTTGTGCTTGTATACTATTTTTTTGTCACTTAACTTAATTGTATACACAACCGTATAATTATGAAACGAATAACAGTCAGAATTTAATCCAGGTAATAGCGTCGGAAGAGAAAGAAACACAGTCGCAACGAAAGAGGTCGGTCACACGACATCGCTCGACTCGTGGCCTGACTACGACTACGGACGATCGTTCGTGCCTAAACCACGTTCCCCGTAATTCCCTTTCCCCCTCCATAGGGCGCTGCGTCGTCAACAGTGCCGAGCCGTGGATACATGGGCCCTGAAGGTAGGAGGCGCGGCTCGAAACCTCCGATTCACGCTCTTTCTATCTATCTCTCTTATACCTTCTTCCCGTTACCACTTTTTCATCGGTTTCTCTCTGTTCTTCCTTGAATCCATCTCCTTTTCATTTTCTTCCTCTTCTAACTATAGTGACCATCTTTCTTACTCTCTTTCTTCTTTATTCCATGATTCTATCTCTCCCTTTCTCTCTATTTCTTCCTTTTTTATGCTTTCTATCCTATTTTCTATATTTTCTCTATCTTCCTTGTCTATCATCTTCTCTTACTTCCTTCATCTTTTTATCTTCGTACTCATTTTATCACACTAACTACGAGTATACTTTCCTTTTCCTCTGCTCTTCTCTCTTTCTTTTTTGTCCAGCGAAGGTCTATGAGAGCGGTGAAGAAGGATAGCTTTACACGGCTGGTGGGGTTTTGAAGGAAGCCGATGATGGTTCAACGTGGTCTACGACGACACTAAATGTCGACGCCGCGACGTCGAACGGCATGTAAAAAGGGAACCGGAGCCTCCTGAGGATTTCGATTATTGCGGCCAAACAAATCTTTTCGGATTTTTGTGTGCGAACATTATCCCGATTCAGAAAAAGTCACTTTTGAAGAATTTGAAAAAATAGTGTTTCTATCTAAAAGGATTAGACGTTTAATCATTCCAAATCATCTATATCAAACCGTCACAGCATCGCTGGAATCTCGTAATTCGTCGGAATGACGCACGACCGACTACTGTACCTTCCGTCGCGGCAAACTCCACCCAATGAATAATGGTTTAGGGTCGTCTTTATTTTTTATTTGGTTCGCGCTTTAATCTTCCGTCCACCAAAGATAATGATAATTATTCTTAATATTTCGACGCTTCTTTGTGGAATATTTATCAAAAGATATCTTAAATTTGACGTCGTTTTCATTAATAATCTAATAAAAACATTTAATCTAGTATTTATTCATTGAAAAATAAATCATGATTAGACATAAAATTATATTGAGTAAATAAAATTATTTGAACAATTTTATATTATTTTTCATAAGTTTCGACTATTTATTTAATGTATAGAAAAACATTTGATACACTCGATTTGACGCATTCGTTTATAGCGTTCAACGTAATTTCAAAAAACTGGAATAAATGCTACATTTACTAAATATTTTATTATTTGTTTTTCAATTATTCAAGGTTAAAGTACATAAATATAATAGTGTAGTGAGATAAATGAGAAATACTCTTTTTGGAGACTGTACCCGCACGCTATTATCTCCTAGCGGTGTTTCAGAAGAAACATAGGCGTCACCTTTGACAATCTGATGAATGAACTTTACCGAAAAGCATTTTGTCATATATATACAAAAACTCGTTTCTTGTTCAAGGAATTTTACCTCTAGACTATTATTTTATTTATTAAATAACATTTTTATTCTTAATAAATCATTAATTTGAAAAAATCATTACTCGATATACATAATAATTAAAATTTTTTTTTAATTAAAATAAATCAATAAATTAAATAATATGAAATATCAAAAATTTTGTCATTTATTTTATATTATAATAAAATTCATCATTAATGAATTTTCATGCTATATTAATCAAAATAATGATATGTACAAACAACAAAAGAATCAAAATATAGAATATGTTAATTATAAGCAATTAGAAGTTGTAAATGATACGAGAAAATTAAAACATGTTCCCTAAGTATCCGCGCCATTGGCATGGCAAGTACCCCTTGCTCTCCCTGTACGGAAAGTCTCTACCCACCATGCCACGCTATGCCGTGCTGTGCTGCGCTGTGCTACGGTTTGCCGTGCCATCCTCAACCGCGTAGCGTGGCTAGTTGTTTCTTTTCTTTATTCCTTTGTCGGAAAGTCGGTGGCGAGTCTCGTTTTTAAGAGAAGAGTAGAGGGGAGGAGGCAAAAGGAAAACGACAACCGCTCAGCAGGGGCTGAGGAAGGAATGGTCGGGCTGGGGCTTCAGAGAGGGGTACAGGGAGGGAGGAAGGGCCACGCAGCAAGGAGAATAAAACGTACGGTTCAAAAATTCAGTACAGACTAACCTCGAAATAAAGCCGACAACTCGCTCAGGAAACTAAAGCATATCTATTAATAATAAACTGTTTTCAGTGAACTGTCTTCCTGTCGTCTGGAGAGAGGTACGATTGCTCTTTGCGAATGCGACAAGCCGGCTTTTGCATGGTATCGCCCATTCGAAAGCGTTGTCCGGCTTGGCGTCCGTTTCGTTTGCGTTATTATGTAATGTTACGTGCGAATAGCGTGTATATGGCACGCCGGTAAGAGGCTGTTGCACTATTAAAGAAAATTGCCCTCTCGCGGTGGTGAATAGGAAGCGTCATGCATTCTTCGATACGGTCATCGATCTGCTATTCGATCTAAGAACATAAACTCTGCTATATATATACTTTAGAAGTTTTTTTTATATATTAATAATAAAAGAATAGTAAATTGAAGAAAAGTAGAATATATTTCAAATATATATTCATAGAATATAAAATATATAATAAAGAAATCATATTTCTAAGAAACTTTGAATACTATACTAGGTACTTATTTATTTATTATATATCTAGGTTAGAAAATTTTTATCTCTTTAAAATTTGTACTAACACTTTATTTTTAATATTTTTAGATAATTCTTTCACTATTTTGAATGAATTTCATTTAAATCAACCTAAAACGGACAATGTAAATATGCATATTATTCATCCTAGCTTTTCCTTGCTACTAAGTAAATCATTTTATCTTAATTTTTGTTATCAAAAAGTTCAACTCGGGCATTACTTTGTCTCTTAAATGCCAAAGATAACAATCTATCTTTTAATGATTGCGATGTCTCTCATAGTATTTACCACTTTTATCAATGCAGTAATTGACAATAAAAATATATATGTTCTTTATTGATATCAATTCCTATTTTTTCTAATTATTCTAAAATAGCATTGTTATTTTGTTTGGTAATTAACATTCGATTGTTAATTTGAGTTTTCTAACGTTACAAAAATATCATAAAATGCATCACGGCAATGTCATTATCATTGCATCATTGCATTCTACGTGTAAGGGGAAGTGGGCGTGAATTAAAATGTTAGACACTGAAATATGCACGGGAATTTTTCTGCTACGCGACGCAATAATTAAAAAAAATTAGTTGTTTCATTATTAATTCTTGAAATTATATATTAAATTATTATTATTGGCATACTTTTAATCAAATTTTAATTTGTTCAAATACAAAATTGAAGTCTTATATTACTTAAATTTGTAATATATAATCAATTATAAAAAACTTTAAATTACAAAAACAAAATCTATTGATTATTAAAAATAAGACATTCTTTAAAATAAATCTACAAAATTTAAACTTTAAAGTTCTCGGAATGTGTTTCGGAAATGTTCAATCCTTTTCTTTTTTTTTCGAATGGACCATCCAAGAAAAACAGGAAGGAGAGGATGAAGAGGAGAAAGGAAGAAATAAGAGAGGAAAGAAGGTCCACGACCGGATCTTATAATTACGCTAATTAGGCAGTAACGTGTAAAAAGAGCGGCGCGAGTATTTATCACAAGGTATCGTGGAAGGTATACGGAGGTCGGCAAAGGAGGACGTCGTACGACAGAATACGACAGGAAAGGCTATAATACAATTTTGCCGCAAGCATCACAAGTAACAGCAGCAGCTACGGCGGTAAGCAAGCGAACAGCAACGCCGGTGCCGAGAAACAGACAACTCTGACGTCGGTTTCGTTATACGTTCCTCGCATCTGACAGATGTCTAATTTAAAGAAAATCCAAAAGTTGAAATTCTTAAAAGCCGATTCTTAAAAGTTTAGGTATGGAATGTTAGATATGGAATTTGTTTGTTGAATAATAAATACATTTCAAAACAATTAAACAATTATATAATAAATTATAATTATAATTATATAATATATATAATATATATAAATTATAATTATATAATAAATTATAATTATATATAATAAATATGTAACTATATACAAAATCTAATTATAAAAATAATTATTTGTATGTTGGAAATCGGATACCTAGTATGGGATAAAGATAACTAGTTTTTAATTTTTTAAATAAATAATCATACTGAAAATTTACACTTTAAAATAAAAACAATGAATAAAACTTTAAAAGATACAGAAAAATTATTTATTTATTAATTATTATTTATTATCAATTATTAATATATATTAATTATCAATTCAACATTGATTTCAGATTAACAACAAATTATTTATTATATTTACACATATTATATATAATTAAAAATTTATATTATCTTTAAGCATATGCGAAAACATTGAGGTAAGAATTTATTTGATTCTAACATTCAATTCATATATTACTTTATTCGATAACTTTATCTCATTTTAGGTCATATTAATTTAACGTACCCAGTCCAGACATGTTTTAAGATTTACGAACAAGGCATATTCGAAGAATCTCATACTTTTTCATAAAAATTAACCCTACATAAGATGCGCCAACGCGTTCCCTATGCGCGTGTCCCTAGCTTAGCAAAGGGTTCATTCAAGCGGAATTATCGTTATCGCTGGTTTCCCGTTCTATTTTTCCGTGGGTGTGTAATCAGCGACCGACAAACCCGGACTGAACGTGTGTGGTTGCTACCCGTCAGAGATTTTTCTCTCATCAGGCCAGAACAGCCCGGGACTGAGCGTTTATGGGTACCTTTGCTGGATGGATTCGTCGGAAGGGGAGGGTCGTGGGATAGGGGGGTTGGGTAGCGGCGGTGGCGGCGACGTGAGGGGGAGAGAGAGAGGAAAGAGAGAGCCTCGGTTGGATTACGGGCCAGTCGAGCCGGAGCGGGGGTGGGGGGAAGGAGGAAGCGGTCGGCGCCTTTGATCTCAGCCGCGGGCGCCGACAAAGCGTTCATCCACTCTCCTACAACGGCGTGCTGTCTCGCGAGTAGGAGCGCGACAATGCTCACCAGGCAAAGCATACGAGAGAGATAATGGATAAAGTGAGCCAGCTGGTAAGGTAGCATAATACAGAGCAAGAAGGAAGAGAAGCGGAAAGAGAAAGCTTGAGCAACGCCGGACGAATGGTACGCTGCGGCGCGATGAGGGAAGGGAGAAAAACATAGAGGCCGAAGAACACATGGAGAGACTGAGAGAAAGAGAGCTCTTCGATCAGACGGAGAAACGAATGGAAAAAGAGGGACCAAGGGACGAGCAAAGGGAAAAGATAGGGAACGAGAAAGTGTAAATACGAATGAAAGAGAAAGAAAGGGATAGGAAACAGAGATGGTTCGTTGGAGAAAGAGAAAGAACTAGAGAAACGGAGAGGGAGGTTGGAAGGAAAAGAGGAAGGGAGAAAAGATCCGAAGATCCGTTCCACGATCTGGTGCTGTCGCGCTTGCTTTAGCATGGCACTGCCACTCCCTTGCGCCGGCTACACCAGCTTTGCTATTAATAAATAATGCTCCGTGATCCGCATTACAACTAAAGCGATTCGTTCCGCTCTTGCCTCTTTATTCCCGATATCTTCGAAGATGTGGATATCCGCGAAATCTCTGTTCCTTCCGTATCGCGTCCGATCTTTTTTAGTAGGTTTCTGAATGAACCGCCTGCCTTCAATGCAACAAAGCTTATGTATGGTTTTGAAGAACTTTATGCCTTCTTCTTAGTGGAATTATAAGAGACGCGTCAGAGAGTTTCTAATTTAGAGTATTAGAGAAGCAACGATGTGCGAGGCGGCGAACATGATTCACGAAAATATGAATGCATTTGATGGATCACGAAACTGCTGTTTGTAATATTTCATGTTTATGATTCGTATGCGATAATGACAACAATCATCAAAGAATGATACGTTAAAAACATATCAACGATATAATGATTAAATGTCTATTAGAATATCATTAACATTATTTTTTATGCAATTGTACTTTCTTTTTTACTTGATTTAAAGTATATTTTGTCTTAACAATAATTTAATATTTTATTATTTTTTTAATTTTATAATTTGAGATATTCAAATATATTACAAAGTTTTTTAAAATATTTTTTAATTATAAAATTTTAAATTTATTGTTTAGAATTTGTTATAGAATATTTTAATAGAGTTTAATAACAATCTTAGTTAATTTTTTGTGGTGGTTGTTCGAGCAGAACATAGGTCGACCGTAATTTACAGAAATTTTATTCGTGAAAATGTTTTACATACAAAGCTCCGTGTTTTTCTCCTAATATTGATTAAAAAACCGCATATTCCATACGTTTTTAGCCTCCTTTTGAGTTACTGCGCTCGTTGCACACACTTTGATTGCACTTAAGCAAATCTCAAGCCCTGGAAATTATACAGGTTTAGCGCGAATAAAAACTGACTCTGATCACCAAACTTACAATATCTTTTTATTATTTGTAAAACGCTGGTTTCTCAAATTCTTCGTGAACTTAAATCACAGGAGACATATAGATTGCACCAACCATCATCAACTTGTCATTTAATTAATTTGATAAAATTATGGAACTTACACAAAAGGAAACGGTATGACAAGTAGAGGGTTCCTCATTATGTTTTATAATTAGTCATACAATTAGATATCAGAAACTTCTTGCAAATGGTTTTTAAATAGTATAATCGCAAATTGTATAGAATAAATAATTATAAATTGTATAGAATAACTTTTAGAAAAATGAATCTCAAAAGAATCGAGCCATATTCTTGAAACGCGTTGTTGATACGTATAATTTTTATTTTCTATCATTTTGCCCCTGGTCAAATAATTTTTTGTGTTTTAGGTACTGAGTAGGCCATATCGTATCTTATACAAATTATGTCATTAATTAAGAAAAAATATAAATCAAATTTAATTTTTTAACAATTTACTTAATTTCCTGTTAAAATCACCGTTCATTGTCGGTATTAAAAAAAAAAAATTAAATTATAAAAATAGATAAAAATTTGAAATAGAAAATACGTATATACATAACATAAATTTATATAAAATTAATCTTTATAAAAATTATTACTTTAAACTAATAAAAAATTGTTTTTATTATACTTTATATAATAATAAATTTATCATAATTTGTATAATAAAATTTCACTTTTCAAATAACAAATATAAAATAAGTTTACACGAAATATTAAATGTCAATTTACTATTTACGAATGTTTTCTAATAGATATTAAATTATGCGACCTCGAAGCAAAAAGGCAGCTTCTGGCAACGCATTTCGAGTATAGCCCGATATTTTCGCATGTGGGCTGTACTTTTTTGATATATAAATATCCATTCTTATAAGAATCATATACTTAGAGATAATCGCACGCGATCGCTTTATTTAATCATTTAAATGTCTATTTAAATGCGATACGCGTAATATAGTTTATGTATTTATTACATAATTAGAATGCAATCGTGACATTCAGATTAATTAGGGACATATGCTGTAAATTCATTGAAGCAGTGCTTAAAAGTCAAGTAAGAGCCAATAATAGATTTCATGTTCAATGTTTTAGGACAGATTGTGTCAGAGGATTACTATTCAAAAGTTGAAAACAATTGATAAACTGAAAATTATTTCTTTTGATTATATAAAATGTACACTTGATATCATTGAATGAAAACATCCTTCTTAAGATTATATAATTATTAAAAATTTCAAAATGATTTTTAAAAAAAAAATTTTTAAACTTTATTTTCATATTTATTATCTTTGTATCTTTAAGTATGAGTTAGAAGGATATTTCAGATGATAATGTCAAGTGTTTTATATATTTGCATAAAATATGTAATATATATAATGCAAATAAAATGAGGTCCCTCTAAATTATTTATCCGAAACTAGAGATACAATTTTTACATTGTTGCAGAAATAAATCGTATCACGAGGTAGTTAAGATATTATTTAACGTAATACTTTAAACCGGTGTTTACCAAATTTTTAGCTAAAGATCTGATACTTTCATGACAAACTATTTGTACTTTGAATTTTATACTTTTATGTAGCAAACGTATCTTTAGCTCTTAAATTTCGAACAACGATTTCTAGTCTTACTTTAGAATTGCAAGGAAGAAAATTAAATTTTTTATATGATAATGACAAAATTTGGGACTTATTTGAATAAACATTTTTCATATATAACAAATTAATACAGACAAATATAATCTATACTTTATCATGTATAAAGTGAAAGATGATCTTTTAGTGGTCAATTACCTAATATCTATGTTTAAACTTCGATTTTTCAAATTTAATACATATTTTTTAAGTATCCTCAACAAATATCAGCCCGCACGCAAATGTATCATTGCTTTTCGATTCAGTTTCCTTCATACTATACTTTTGTTTTAAATTTGCAAATAGCTCACGAAAATATCGAGAGCTGTATTTATTCGTCATGTTGTAATCGATTTCGCTTTTTGAAATAATAAGTGCAGCTTGTCTTGAAAATTTATTATATATTACATTATTTTTCATTGATGTTAATAATGATATTTAATTGTAATTATTTGCACTGTCCTTTGAATTATTTCGATATTATACAACTAATTCCAAGAAGAGTGACATTGCTTTGAAAGCAAAATCGAATAACAATATAAGCAAATTTCTCGGTCTTCATTAGAATTTTTTTCTTTACTAAATTTATACATTACATTTGTGTATATTTTAAATTTATACATTATGTGTGTGTATATTTTAAATACAATATGCAATGGACCAATGATAGGATTGGTATCTTATTCATCTCCCATCTTAAGAATTAAATTCACTTATTCATTTATTATAATAATTATATTCTATTTTCAATAGAAGTCGATATGCCTAATCATTTAAACGGCATTCTTAAGTTATCTTTAACGTTGTTAAGCTTATGAAATATATGTACATCGTACATGTATTCTATGATTTCTAAAATAAGAAGT